GGAAATAGCTTGGGGAAACTGCGCTGGGAGGGAGCGAGACCGGATGCTGGACGGGATGAAGCCGTGGAAATAGCTTGGGGAAAACTTCGCTGGGAGGGAGCGAGACCGGATGCTGGACGGGATGAAGCCGTGGAAATAGCTTGGGGAAACTGCGCTGGGAGGGAGCGAGACCGGATGCTGGACGGGATGAAGCCGTGGAAATAGCTTGAGGAAACTGCGCTGGGAAGGAGCGAGACAGGATGCTGGACGGGATGAAGCCGTGGAAATAGCTTGGGGAAACTTCGCTGGGAGGGAGCGAGACCGGATGCTGGACGGGATGAAGCCGTGAAAATAGCTTGGGGAAACTGCACTGGGAAGGAGCGAGACCGGATGCTGGACGGGATGAAGCCGTGGAAATAGCTTGGGGAAACTTCGCTGGGAGGGAGCGAGACCGGATGCTGGACGGGATGAAGCCGTGAAAATAGCTTGGGGAAAACTGCGCTGTGGGGGGGGAAGGGTCGTGAGCGAGAACCGGATTGCTGGACGGGAATGAAGCCGTTGGAAATAGCTTGGGGAAAACTCGCTGGGAAAGGAGCGAGATCTGGCGGCTGGACGGATGACAGCCGTGGAAATAGCTGTGGGGCAAGACTCGCTGGGACGGGAGCGAGACAGCATGCTGGGACCAGCGCGACAAAACACCCGTGGATGGAAAAAGCTTGGGGAAACTTCGCTGGGAGGGAGCGAGACCGGATGCTGGACGGGACAAAACCGTGGAAATAGCTTCGGGAAACTGCGCGGGGAGGGAGCGAGGCAGCATGCTGGACGGGACAAAACCGTGGAAAATAGCTTGGGGAAACTGCGCTGGATGGGAGCGAGACAGCATGCTGGACGGAAAGCTGTGCTGGGAGGAAGCGCGACAGCATGCTGGACGGGACAAAACCGTGGAAATAGCTTGGGGAAACTTCGGTGGGAGGGAGCGAGACAGCATGCTGGACGGAGAAGAAAGGGTGCAAATAGCTTGCGGAAAGTTGCGCTTGAAGGGAGCGAGACAGCATGCTGGACGGGATGATGCCGTGGAAATAGCTTGAGGAAACTTCGCTGGGAGGGAGCAAGACAGCATGCTGCACGGAGACGAAAACTGTGGAAATAGCTTGCGGAGAGCTTTGCTGGGAGGAAGCGCGAGAGGATGAGACAGCATGCTGGACGGAGAGGAAACCGTGCAAATATCTTGCGGGGAGCTTCGCTGGAAGGGAACGAGACAACTGGACGGATGGGAAACCGTGGAAATAGTTTCGGAGAGCTTCGCTGGGAGGAAGCGAGATAGCATGCTGGACGGAGAGGAAACCGTCCAAATAGCTTGCGGAGAGCTTCGCTGGGAGGGAGCGAGACAGCATGCTGGACGGAGAGGAAACCGTGAAAATAGCTTGCGGAGAGCTCCACTGGGAGGGAGCGAGACAGCATGCTGGACGGAGAGAAAACCGTGGAATAGCTTGGGGAAAGTCCGCTGGGAGGGAGCGAGACAGCATGTTGGACGGAGAAGAAACCGTGCAAATAGGTTGCGGAGAGCTTCACTGGGAGGGAGGGAGACAGCATGCTGCACGGAGGAAAGTGTGAAAATAGCTTGCGGAGAGTTTCGCTGGGAGGGAGCGAGATAACATGCTGGACGGATAGGAAACCGTGGAAATAGCTTGCTGAGCTGGGAGGGAGCGAGACAGCTTGCGGAAAGCTTCGCTGGGAGGGAGCGAGACAGCATGCTGGACGGAGAGGAAACCGTGCAAATAGTTTGCGGAAAGCTTTGCTGGGAGGGAGCGAGACAGCATCCTGGACGGAGAGGAAGCCGTGGAAATAGGTTAAGGAGAGCTTCGCTGGGAGGGAGCGAGACAGCATGCTGGACGGAGAGGAAACCGTGCAAATAGGTTGCGGAGAGCTTCGCCGGGAGGAAGCGAGATAGCATGCTGGACGGAGAGGAAACTGTGCAAATAGCTTGCGGAGAGCTTCGCTGGGCGGGAGCGAGCCAGCGTGCTGGACGGAGAGGAAACCGTGCAAATAGGTTGCGGAGAGCGTCGCTGGGAGGGAGGGAGACAGCATGCTGGATGGACAGGAAACCGTGGGAATAGCTAGCGGAGAGCTTCGCTGGAAGGGAGCGAGACAGCGTGCTGGACGGAGAGGAAACCGTGGAAATAGCTTGCGGAGAGCCTTGCTGGGAGGGAGCGAGACAGCATGCTGGACGGGACAAAACCGTGGAAATAGCTTGCGGAGAGCTTCGCTGGAGGGAGCGAGACAACATGCTGGACGGATAGGAAACCTTGAAAATAGTTTGCGGCAGAGCTGTTGGCACGGGTTTTTTCAGGACAAATGCCATCATTGCGATTGGCCTGAAAAAATTGTGGACCCAAGACTGGTCAAATGGTCCCAAGACCGGTCAAACGGTTTGCAAAGGCTGAAATATGGGACATGCACAGAGAAGCTTTTACACAAAAAAAGCCTTTACACAGAAACTTTGACACACAGACGCGTTTACAGAGACACAGAGGAGTCTTGACACAGAAGCCTTTACGCACAGAAGCTTTTTTGCACAGAGTAGCTTTTACACACAGAAGTCTTTACACAGAGAAGTCTTGAGACAGAGAAGCCTGTACACACAAAGGCTTTTACAGAGAGAAGCCTTTCGCACAAAGAAGTCTTGACACAGAGGAGCTTTTACGAGAGAAGTCCTTACACAAACGAGATTTACACGCAGAAGGTGTTACAGATAGACGTTCTTTCGGCGCACAGAAACTTTAACACAGAGCAGCTTGTACGCACAGAAGCTTTTACACAAAAAAGCCTTTACACAGAGAAGTTTTTCACACAGGAGCTTTTGCACAAGAAAACTTTTACACAGGAAAGCTTTTACACACAGAAACTTTCACACACAGAAGCTTTGTACACAGAGAAGTCTTTGCACAGAGGAGCTTTTGCACACAGAATCTTGTACACACAGACGCTTTCACACACACACACAGGAGGTTTTACAAACAGACAACTTTACGGCGCACAGATTTTTTACACAGAGCAGCTTTTACGCAGCGAAGCTTGTACACACAGGGGGCTTTTTTACACAGAAGCTTTTACATAAGGTTTTTTTTAATACACAGAAGCTTTTACACACAGAAACCTTTACACACAGAAGCTTTTACACACAGAAACTTTTACACACAGAAGGTTTTACACACAGAAGCTTTTAACACAAAAAAACCTTTAAACAAAGGAGCTTTTACACACAGACAGGTTTACACAGAGAAGTCTTTACACACGGAGGCGTTTACACAGGAAAGAGTTTACACGGAAGCGTTTACACAGAGTAGTTTTTACACAGAGAAATCTTTACACAAAGAAGTCTTGACACAGAGAAGCTTGCACACACAGAGGCTTTTACACACAGAAGTCTTTTACACAGAGAAGCTTTTGCACACAGAAGCTTTACACAAACAAAGCCTTAACACAGAGGAGCTTTTACACAGAGGAGCTTTTACACAGAGGAACTTTTACACAGAGAAGCTTGTACACTCAGAGGCTTTGACACAGAGAAGTCTTTTACACAGAGAAGCTTTTGCACACAGAAGCTTTACACAAACAAAACCTTAACACAGAGGAGCTTGTACAGACAGAAGCTGGTACGCAAAGAAACTTTCGCAAACAGAAACTTTTACACACAGAGCGCGTTTTACACAGAAGATTTTACACACAAGAGCTTTTACACCAAAAACCTTTACACAGAGAAGTTCTTGCCCACAGAAGCTTTTACTTGCAGAAGCTTTTATGCAAAGAAGCTTTTGTACAGAGAAGTCTTTACCCATCTTTTATCATGTCTCATTTTTCATGATCATTTGCCATCTGTCACCTTCATATATATCTTCGTTTTCATGCTCTTTTGGTCAGCTCCCTCTGTCGTTTAATTTTCATTTCGTTCTGTCCGTCCACGCTTCGTGCTCGCTCCCTCTGCGGCGAAGCAAACTAAACGATAACGCAGAAATAGATAGCGACTAGACAGATGGGATAGAGTTAATTACATTAACAGAAATAGCGACTAGAAGACTGTAGGCGTAGCTGACACAGCATGCTGTGGTGAATCGTGGCCCCTGATACCATCAGTGCGCACGATGTTTAAGTAAAGATCTTACGTCGATTTCGTGCAGAGCACAGCTGGCCACACCCCAAGATTTTCAAGAAAAGGCGTGCTGTGTGCCGTCTTGCTTTTGGGTTCTCTGGCCCACCTTGTTTTTTCCATGTATTGGGAAAAATCATCCCAACTGACTAATATTTTTGGAGGGGTTGAAACCACCAACCAGACCATCGTGTTGGTTAGACATCCCCCATAGTATATCATAGAAAAAATCCCCATTTGGTACCCATGAAACTCCCTAATAAAATCATAAACTGGCTTTTAGAATCCCGTTCATATCCATTGCCAACACAAACCCTTTTTTTTCGCCCAGGTTGAGCTGGCTTGGAAGCAGGTCGAACAGTCGGTCTCGCATGAACAGCAGGGGCCGGATGGCAAGCAGATCAAGGGTCAGGTGTGTTTCACGCATCTCCTTGTAAAGTCTCAGCAGCCCAATGCAGCCCAACGTCCACCAGCAGGACGGTTTTTTGATGATAAGAACTGGATGGTAGAATTGCGGGATACGCAATTCTTGGATGAATGAACACTTGAAGAGAACACAACACAATCAACACAGAAATATATAATTATACGCAGATTTTGAAATACTAGCTTTGGGAATTCAAGTGGACATAGAGTATAAAATGAACATCTTGCATGTTGAATGTGAAATAGCAAACTTGATTGGACTTAGCTGTGGTTTGTGTTCAACAGTCGGGTAGGGGCTCTTCTGTCCGAAAACCTTTGGATGACAGATGTCGGATTGCCACTCAGGTGCCAAGTGAAATGTGTCTGTGCATATCCATGCATGGAGCGCCGCCACTACTTTATTTTGTTTTTCAGTTTGCCACACAACATGCCAAGGACCGGACATATCACCTGTTTCATGATTTGTGTATTGGCCCGATATTATATATTGCAATTTATGATATTTGTTGAGATTACGTATAATAGTTTATGCATCATGTATATAGCCGCATGGGTCTCGGAGTTTTTTGTCCCTCAGTGGGGCATCTTCCGCAGAGAGTCAGTTGGGCTGTGACTTTCAAGAAATTCAGCAAGTCGTCTTCTTGCATGAAACTTTCAGCAATTCACCCCCGTTGGGTCGCCGGCGATTTCAACACTGCCAAGTGCTAAGTGCTGGGCTTCAGGGTCAGACAGATAAGAAAGAAAAATAACGATAAGATATATAATATAAAGAAAGCTGGAGAAAACAAAAACATAAGACGAAGGTTTGTTTGTCTGTGTTCACAAGGAGACCCTGAAGATGTTGGCTGCAGACCGAGGGGCGGATGCGATCTGTTCAAAGATTATATGCGATCACTTTCGGCAGAGGTCTGGCAAACCAGACGAGCCTCAAACTGCTGTGGTGAAGTAAAGATTGGTGAGGCGAGCCCCAGTTCCAGTTGCCAACTGGGACGGACTGATCCGGAGGCTAATTGGATCCTTCCAGATCCGAACAGTGCACAGTGGCGTCGCAACATGTCACAACCAATTTCAAGGCAGCTTCGGTTCTTCCTGGACAACTCAGTGAAATACCAGCTGCCCCAGACAGGTGCTATGACATTTGAATTTCTCCTAAAGGGCTTTCAATCCAAGTTGCATAAGGCACGCTCCTCCTGGAAAGAGGGTGCAACACGACGCGTGTCATGCTTCGTTGAAGCCTTTTTTGGATGGCAGCTCACGTGAATTCTTGACCACGCGCCAGCGTGCCAACTCACCCAGTGTTTCGGCACGCACGTTTGGGTGTGTGTTATGAGCTTGGCAGCCAACCAGTGTGCTACCTCAGATAATTTTGTGTACGGACCTGGGATATCTCGGGTTGTTGAACGGTTGTTCTAGTTGCTCAGGTATGTTCCTTATTGGTTTGGCATGTCCATCAGTACCATGGGAGTATATTTAAGATGTCCAGACTACATTATGGAATATGTATATCTTATTTACATACTATATCTATGATGCATTTGTACATCAAAACTGAAAGGTACACTGGGCTTTTATGTCGCTCCTGGGTTTCTGAAATGTGTGAACAACACGGGCTCTTCCTTTGGCAGGGAACCAACTCGCACCATTCCGGTTTGCGTGTGACGTGTCGAGTCCCAAGAACGACCATGCGTCCCATGCTGAGAACAGGTCCTCATGTTTGAAATCATGGGAAGAAAGGTCTATAAAGCCTACAGTTGTATACACGTGTGTTCTTTCAGAAGTGGGGACCATGGTCAAAACTCCAAGCCCTTTGTGGCTTGTGCCGACAGCGCTGATGGAGGAAGGCTAAAAAGGGAACCCTGTGACAAGCAGTGGACTCCCTTTTGAACATATATGGAACGATTTCCTGAATACTGCACCAGTAACCCTCCATGAAAGCATGTATAAATCAACGCGACGATTTTTCAGTGGTGCTCCTTGTGGGGCGTCATGGATGATAGTGGCCTTGAAAAAAGTTGGATTTCACCAGATGTCTGTCATTTTTCACCTGCAGGGTGCAGCTTTCGGGCGATTTTTATCTCCTTTGATGCAGAGAAGGATCACCAGGGATGATGCTTATTGGGGAGGGCAGCACGGGCACCAACCCGACGAGGAATAGTCCCTCCTTCTCATGGAACGACCAAGCGTCGTAATTGCTGTTTTTAGGGTTCCTTCAGAGTCTAAGAGTTTCTATGTGTTTCTCAACCAGAAGGATCTTTTTTGGAGGATTTGATTGAAGATTGAACAAAGGAGTCCTCAAGGGGCTGTGGATGAATTAATTCACCTTGGACTCTGAACCAGTCCCTGCTTTAAAGTGTGGCGATCAGATTTTTCCAGGCCTTCCAAACCCCAGGTCCCAAGGCCGTTCGTTAAAAGGGCACAGGAAGATTGGAAATGGACCCAGACTCACAGCAGGTGTTTGGGTTGATTTGCCGCAGAGGTGGGTCACAACGGTCACAGTTTGCCAGATCCATCTGTGATCCATCTGTACTCCATCTGTTTGTGGCTGCACGTTTGACCTGTGACTATGGCAAGCGGTAGCCGGGGTCCAGGGTTGAACCCAAAAGGAACCCAGACAGCTGCTTGTTGTCGCAAGCGCAGCACGAAAGAAAATCTGCTGTCTCTTGCTGCATTGCTGTTTGTCGGATAGGAAGTATGGGAGAAAATCTGCTGTCTCTTGCAGCTTTGCAAAATGCTGGTTGTCGGATTTGGAGTTGTTTTGAAAACAGGCTACTGTACCCCACAACACATGGTTTATCATCATGGTTGCATATTTTTGCTGTCAAAATCACCATTTAACTATTTTAACTTATTGGTAAGGTCCCATTTTTGTTCACTCACCTAACGAAGCCATGTGGAATCTTGGACGCAGGTTGCCTCAAGCAGTTGTGACACTGTCACTTTGGTGCGAGAAAAGGTGGACAGTGAACTGCAGCTGTGTAGCCATTCAAAGTGGAACATCCGGAAGTCGCATTGGGTGTGTCTGAAAATAGAGAAAACCCCTAAACCCAATGGTTTTGCTGATCATTATCCCTATTAAATGGCTATTTCATTGGGAATATACCCTATTTTCAGACAAACCCATTTGTTGGATAATGCAGCTCAGCCAGTCGGAACGGCAGAATGCATTAGCGTCGCCTCAGACATTGACAGCCACCATCGTCCCAGGCATAGTCTATGCATGTCTATGCCTGGCACTTCTGCAAAAGAATCACGCCTGAAATCAGAAATCGGATTGTGCACTGCATAGCCTCCAAGGTTAGATGAAAGATGATGAAAGCAGCAATCCTGGTGGGAGACAGGTGTTCTAAACACGGCAGCCAAAACATGCCAAAGCCAACAGCCCTTCAACGCAATTGATGTGGATCTGGGACCAACACAGGCTCGAGTTTCTGAGATTTGTCTGATGGAGAAGGTACCACTAACAGAATGATGATTGAGAAAACCTTACACTACTTACACTTACCACTTACTATGGATGCGCCTGTACCAATGTATAATATATATATAATACAATCATATATATATATTATGTTATATTATAATACTATTTATATTATATGTATAATATATATTCAGACACATGTGTTTGTCACACTATGTCATATCCATTTGCCGTTGTCCAGGTCGCCATGACCATCTACAGAGCCTTGGCACCGGGGAATCAGAATGGTATCCCAAGTCATCCACCCATTGAAGGTTAAGGACCATCGGTGGTAACGTCCCCAAGTATGGTACCCTCTGGTAATTTGTTACATAGCTATTGAAAATGACCATTTATAGTGGATTTACCCATTGAAAATGGTGGATCTTTCCATAGTTATGTTAGTTTACCAGAGGGTAAGTTTATTTATGTTTGTTTGCTATGTGGTAAATCCCAATAATGAACTAAATCATTATAATAGTGGTTTGCTAGAATGGGGATGGTTGATAAATCCCAATCATTAACTAAAGCATAATATGTTATAGTGGTCTATGTACGATAATGGTACTTACTAATTATGGGAATGTGGTAAATCCCAATCATGAACGAAAAAACCTACCTTTAAGGGATGGTTTATGTGATTTTGGGGATCATTTATGGCATTGGGTCTACTACAAAAAAAGAGACATGAACCACAAATTGTGGACCTGTTTTTTTCTTACTGTGAATCTCTCACATGAGACTACAGTTAAGTTATCTGTATTCCGAAGATGGAGGTTTTATCAGCATGTCTGAATAGTTGTAGTATCTGACAAACGCCAAGTGGGGTCGAGGGTTTCGTTTCTTTTTGAGTTCCATCCTGTAAATGGGTTGATTCCAATTCAGACGTTTAATGACTTTTCAAAGATGCCCACTAAATTGGCCAAAAATTGGAGGTATACTAAGCATTTTCGGACACTTTTCAACCGTCCCGAGGCGTGAACTCTCCAAAGTTCCAGGCCTTTCTC